GGGGTGCCACCAGGTGGGTGGGGGACGGTGCTGGGTGTGGCTGAGATGGTTGACCTGGACCATGTGGAGTTGGAGTCTGCAGCTCCTGGGGAGTGGGGATGTGGGGAGGAGGCTGGGTGCTTGGGGTGGGGGCCCGGAGGAGGGCCAGGGGAGGGCTGTGGGCAGGAGGCGGCGGTGGCTGGGTCTACTCCGTCCTCCCCACACGGAGGCTCGGGGCCACCCCTGCACGCTCAGTGAGGACGCAGACCTGAGGGTCTGGCATCCTCGTAATTAATTCATCAGGCGTCATGCTGGGATGTCTGACGATGCTCAAGTGTTTAATTACAAACTTCTCCATAACCATGCACTTTAATTACCTCGGGCTGGGAGAGCTCGAGGGCATCAACCCGCCGCCCTACCTCGGCGCCGTGTCCAGCCCAAGACGTGAGGGAGGTCTGGACCATAAGTGGAGCAGGTGGGGACTGAGAGGTGGGCCTGGGGCAGGATCAGCAGCAGCAGCCGCAGGATGACCTGGATGGGACAGCAGGAGGGGCCGGGCAGATGCCTCAACACCAAAACTGGGGTAGCACCTGCGTATGAGCGGTCTGAGCCCAGAGCCCCATCTCAGGTCCTTGAGGTGTGTTGACAACCCTGTGCCTCCTGAAGACGGGGTCCTGGTTTCAGGAATGAGAACTTGATGTGTGATCCCACATCTGTCACTGCTCACCCCTGCCTCAGTCTCGTCGTCTGTAAAACGGGGCACACAGCAGGCCTTAGCATGATCCATCTCCATACCGAACATCAGAGGGTGCACTTCATCACTTGTCTGTCTGTCCCTCCGTACAGCTGTCATTCATCCCTCCACCTGCCCATCCGCCCACTCCTCCACTCACTCATCTGTCTCTCCATCCACCCTTCCAGCAGGGGATTCTTCGAGAGTTAAATGGCCCGCCGGGCATCTGGGCATGCACAATCAACGGGTTAGCTCAGCCTGGCACACACCTGCCCAAGTCAGGGCAGATGGGCAGGTGGGAGGTTGGAACATCTGTGCGTGTGTGGGGAGGACGATCAGGCAAAACCAAAGGGACACTGCTGTCGGATCAGAGCTCCCTAGTCTCAGGCCTCCTCGCCCTGGTCACAGTTGACACCCCTCTTGATTCAGGCTCTTGACTCCTGTGTCTGCTGTGACCTCAGAGGGGCACGTGTGTGCGTCAGTGCAGGGAGAGAGAGGGGTAGTGGGTAGGGCTGCCCACCCTGGCATGTCTGCCCTGAAATGTCTTTGGAGGTGGACATTCCAGCCACCCAGCTCTCCCTCAGCCTCAGGCTGTGTCTGTCCCTGGGGGCATGGGACAGTCTGCAGGTCAGTGAAGACACTGCACTTTCTTCCTACAGCTACATGACTGGGGCCCTGGGCCTGAGGATGGGATGAAATTGACCACTTCCGTCCCGGTCCATGCCGACTCATCAGTTGGAAGTCTGTTTCTACCGAAGTTAGGTGTGGTGGCAGACACCTGTAATCCCAGCAGCTCAGGAGGCTGAGGCAGGAGGATTGCGAGTTCAAAGTCAGCCTCAGCAATGGCGAGGTGCTAAGCAACTCAGTGACACCCTGTCTCTAAATAAAATACAGGGGCCAGGGTTGTGGCTCAGTGACAGAGCACTTGCCTAGCATGCGTGAGGCACTGGGTTCCATCCCCGGCACCACATAAAAATAAAAACAAAATAAAGGTATTGTGTCCATCTACAACTAAAAAGAAAAGACTTTTAAAAAATAAATAAAATACAAAATGACCTGCTACCTGGTACCAGCACACCACTAGTCTCCAAGGTCCTGCTGGGGGGCGGGTCCCAGACTGCAGATTCCCTCTCTTCTGCCCTGAGCTCTGTTCTAGCTCCACACCCGGGCCAGAGACAGCACACGGTGTCAGCCCATTTTCCAGATGAGGCTAAGGAGGCTCAGAGAGGTAAAGGAATTTGCTGAAGGCCACACAGCCCATCGGTGGTGGTGAGAATGGAGCTGTGTATCACTGGGTTCTGGGGTCACGTGGTAGAAGATGAATGGAAATCATGACAGCAAGAGACCTGGGAGCCTGGAGAGGAAGAGGCCAGACAGAGACGGGGAGGGACTTGTCCAAGGTCACGCTTGTCAAAGACATTGCTGTGCCAGGCTGCTTCTTCCACCAGGTCCCCCCAGCACAACCTCCTGCCTACCAGGTGCAGCCCGAGTTCAGGGCCTGCCACTGTGCTTGGCAGAGGCCCTGGACAGCAGCAGGTTCTGCCCGGCTCTTGCTGGGTTGGCACCCGGGCCAGTGCCATCTGTCCCTGGCAGCCCCTTACCCTCCGCCCAAGATGCCTCCCACTCGGAGGGAGACCCTGGAGGAGGTGGAGTGGGTCATGGCTGGAGGTGCTGGAAGTGGCCAGCAGAAGCACTCGGCTTTCCATTGGGGAGGGCCACAGGCATGGGAGGGCCCGACACAGGGTTGGGACACCCAAACCCCCACTCTGTGCCAGAGCAGTGCTCAGGAATTCCTGGCACCCTGTACTGTCTGGGGAGGGGGAAGAACTGAAGAAAATGCCTGTTCTAGCTTCCCCCCAGCACACACAGGGAAACCAAGGCCCAGAGGGGTCAAGAACTTGCTGAAGGCTGCTCAGTGGGGTGGCAGGGGCCGCCCAGAGCCCTGGGAGGGCAGACCCTACTCACTTGCCCTCCCCCCACCCCCTCCCCCACCATCCTCCCGCCTCCCTACTCACTTGGCCTTGAAGTCCTCTCCTACTCCAGATTCCTGTCCTTGGAAGAAGCTGGTGACCCCTCAGAACCCTGGGGGTGGAGTTCTGCCCGGACACCTACTCAAGGCTGCGAGGGTTGAATGGGTTTAGACTCATAAATAACTATTAATTAATCGTTGACTAAATATGAGTGTACTGGCCACTGAAAGGTGTTGAGTGTGCCCGGGGTGCTGTGCCACTTCCTTCTCTCGTGACCTTGAGCAGGTTACTTGCATTTTTCTCCCCTCAGTTTTCTCCTCTGTAAAATGGGGCCACACAAAGGTAGGCTTAAGTGACCCAGGGAAAGCTCTTGGGGCCCTCCTGGAATGTGGTCAATTGGGCCTGTGGGCTCTGGCTCCGGGTACCTGCACCATTGGCCACGCCCTAATGGAGGGCGGGCCCCGGAACGGGACGGGGCCACGGCGGGTGGGGCCTCAGGCCTGCTCTCTCCAACTGCCCGCGGTGAACTCGCAGCGCACGGCCGGCAGGTGGCGCTCCGGCGTTTCTGAGCGCGCTGGGAGGGCGCGAGCCCGGGGTGCTGGGGGCAGATGCGGACACCGGTGCGCACGGATTCCGAGTGGACACGACTCCACGTGCGCCCGGCTGCACAAATGCTGGCGCATCCAAGGCACACGTGCACATGCGCGCAGACCCTTCCGGCCCGGGGGTCACTCCTCGCCCAAACCTGGAATTCCGGCTTCAGCCTGTGTCCGGGTCTTTCTCACCATTTCCTGCTACCAAGACTCCCGGCACCCCCCCACCCCGACCCTGCACCCCGGCCCAGAGCTTTCCCCAGTGGGCGTTCAGCACCTCACCCCTGGTGCTCAGCCCAGGGACATTAGGGGCAGAATCACCCTGCAAGGCCTGGTGGGAGCGCACTGATGATGGCATGGTCTGGTGCCACTGACCTTGGAGCTGAGGGCACAGCGTCCTGTTATTTCCCAGGGAGGTCACTGAAGTTGGAGAGGGACACTTGTCAAGGTTCCCCTTGGGTGAGGCCAGGACCTAGGTCTAGGGGTTCCTGTGGCTGCCTGGACATCTGGACCTTCAGAATGAAGGACACTCATCCTTGGCTTCTTGGTCCCTCCTGGCCCGAGTGATCCCCTCTGGAGGCTCCAGGGTCAGGAAGGGCCCAGCTCTGCCCGCCAGCCTCCACCTGTGCTGGGCAAGTGCCTACCTACTCCTGTCCTCAATTTTCTGTCTTCCCAGGGGATGACAGCTATCCTGGCCTACCCGTGAGGACAGACTGCAGGCTCTGTCCCTGTCATTATCTGGGGTGAGCCCAGCACCTCCCAGGTGTGGCTTTTGTCTATTGCCCAATGACTGCTCAGAGACCCCCACCCCACACAGCACGGGTCCTCCGCAGGCACCAGAGGCCTCAATCCCCAATCTGTGCAGTTGGGCATCTCTGCTGGCTTCTCAGGGTGTGGAGAGGGAAGACAGACACTAGGGCAAGGGCAGCGGGGACAGGAGCCGCTGCCCAGGGAGGCCTGGCGCATGCGTACTTGTGTATATACAGAGGTGCCCAAAAAGAATCGCTGCTACCACCCCCTCACCCCAGCCAAGATGCCCATACTGCCAGGTATGGGCCACACGCAGGCGGGCAATGCCTGGTACCCCAGCAGAAAAGAGCAGTTGGGGCACCCCCACCCGTTGCCACCCCCGAATCCATAAGCACAGTTTATCTGTGCAGGTCAACAGCGCGCGCGGTCTGCTCGGCGGAATTGTTGGAACACCCTGGATACGCCGAGAACACTCCTTAATTAGATTCCGCAGAACCCTGACACACAAACAAAAGATATTAATATCAAGCGGCGCAGCTTCAATTGCAGTTTACACAGATCAGAGAACATTTTGGGTGCAAAGAGGTTGTGTGTGTGACAGGTTGTTACTTTACAAGTTGGGGATGCGGGGCACGTGACAGGCCTGAGTGCCACCGATTCCAAGCAGGATGGGGGGGGGGTTGGGTGGCCAAAAGACATTCGAGGTCAGAGCTGAGGGTTGGAACTGGGCTGGCCTAGATAGGGGCCTGGGTCATTCAGGGCCGGAGGGATAAAGGCTCAGCCCTGGGAGGTCACCGGGGGTTTTGCTCCCTCAAACATTATTCCAGTGCTGGTTATAGGAGCAGAGGGGGTGACAAAGAATTGGGTCTTCTCCAAGGTCACTGTGCTCCTGACTGTGGGGTCTGTTTCCTCCATCTCTTTTTTTTTTAATATATATATATATATATATATATATATATATATATATTGCTCAAATGTGATGGATTGAGGGGTGTCCCTCAAAAGATGGTTCTAATCCCATGGGCCAGTGTGACCTTATTTGGACCAAGATCTTTGCAGATATCATCATGTGGAACTCATTCAGGTGGGTGACCCAACACCTCTCGTCCCCCGCCAGCTCCTCCACGGCAGACCTCTGGCCTCTGCAACTGTAAAATGATACATTTTTGTTGCTGAAAGCCAACCCCCCCAGCCCCAGTCCTGCCACCAACCCTACCCCGTTTGTGGCACTTGGTTAAAGGCAACCCCGGAAAAGTAACGCGAGGTTTTCCAGCAAACTCGCCCCTTCCCGGGCACGGTTCAGTATCTTCCCAGATTGTGTGACTTACCACCCATAGTAGCTGTTTCCAGAAGGTTCTCATCACCTCCCAACAAGGAAATCACAACGATCACCACTCACCTCCTGGTTTCCCCTCCCAAGGTTCAGCCCTCTCTGTTGCTATGATTTATTTGCCTTTTCCAGACACTCCACAGAAGTGGGGTCCTCAAGGTCCATAGGCCCTCCATTCCTTCATGGGGTTGTGAGGCGTTCTGTTGAACCCATGGACCACATTTGGTCGATATGTTCATCCACTGATGGACATTTCTGTGGCTTTCAATCTTTCTTTGACTGTTGTGAATAACACTGCAGTCACTGGGCGCAGTGGTGCACACCTGGAATCCCAGCGGCTGGGGAGGCTGAGTCGGGAGGATCGTAAGTTCAAGGCCAACCTCAGCAACTTAGCAAGACCCTGTCTCAAAATTAAAAAAAAAAAAAAAAAAGTCCTGGGGATGTAGCTCAGTGGTTGAGTGTCTGTGGGTTCAAAAAACAAAAAGAGTAATGCAACTATCAATATTCGTATGTAGGTTTTTGTGTGCACGGTTTAGTTTTTCCTTGGGTATGTATGCCCACAAGTGCTTAAAACCTTTTTCTAAAGCGAGGGCTAGGGGTGTAGCTTAGTGGCAGAGCATATGCTTAAGACTAAGTGCAAGGCCCTGGGTTCCATCCCCAGCACCACAATAAACAAACAAACAAACAAACAGCTAGATAGATGAGTGAATGAATAGGTAAATAGTTACATAGATGAATAAATACAAATACACAGTTTAAAAAATGTCTCTTCCTCACATGGTACAAAAGGGATGAGCACACACAGGTCGACCCAGCAACTCAGGAGGCTGAGTCAGGAGGATAGCAGGTTCCAGGCCAGCCTGGGAGACTTATCCAGACCTGTTGTCAAAATCAAAAAGGACTCGGGGTTGGCTCCAGCCAGTGCCTGCCCAGTAGGGGTGAGGGCCTGGGTTCAATCCCCAGCCCTGAAGGAAAGGCTGAGCCGTGAACCCAGAGCTTCCTGTGGCTGCCGCTCAGCCTTCCCCGTGGTGATGTCAGGCCACGGCTGCTCCTGTCCCTCCTTCCATGTGACGTGTGGCTTTGCCAGCTGTGCGGTGGCCCCAGCAGCCCCCTGTGTGCATGTGTCCCCCCTGGTGGACACAGGATGTCTCTGGGTGTTTACTGTGCTGCTTTGGCACACCCTGTCTCTGGAGCATTCGAGCATCAGTCGGGTGAGTTTCCCCAAGTTCAGTGGCCAGAGCTCTCCTTGCTGTACAAATGGGGACACTGGGGCCTAGAGGCGGGGGCAGGGGCCCCTCTGGCTCACCCAAGAGTGCTGCTTACTGGGCACCTATTAAGTGCTGATGCTCCCCAGGTACAACCTCATTAGACTCTGACATAGCCCAGGAGCCACCCCATGTCCGATCCACTGGTCGCCCCCTCTTCTGGTCTTCAGGAGCCCACAGTTCCTAACCTTGTACCGAGGGGACCTCGACCTGGGCCCTGCGTGTCACTCCAGGCTGGTCTTCACCCTGGCCCTGTCCCTGTGTGGCCTCGGGAAGGGGGTTTCCTTTCTGGGCCTCAGTTTCCTTGTCAACACTGCAGGGTGGGCACACCCAGCCCAGCCCCAGTGGGCAACTGTGGCCATCAAGCAAGGTCACAAAAATGCCCAGTGCCTACCGGCAGGACCAGAGCCTGAGCCGGCAGCTGGTGTCCGTCGGATTCCTGTTTCGTCCGCTGCTCTGACATTTGGGGTGGGATGCCTACTTCCCTTTCCCAGGTCAGTGACAATGATGAAAACGTGTCCCTTCGTGACAGTCACTGCTATGTCTGTGTGTCTTACCATACCTGGTTACAATGCATCTCAGGCCCCCTTCAATCACCATGTCCTCTGTCCCTGCTCTGGGCTGAGCGAATCCACCTGGTGGATGAAGACGCTCCAGGGCACTACCTGGAGGGCATCAGCCTGTGACGCAAAACAGAGACTCAGAGAGGTTAGGCAACTTCTCAGAGGGCACACAGTACACCCATGGCACCCCAAACCAACTGCTTTCAAAGTCTCTTGTCCCCTCTTTGGGTGGAGAGATCAGTGTAACCCAGAGGCCTCTCTCTTCCTCTCAGGGTCAGGACATTTCCCCATTGCAATACTGAGCAGAATTATTAGGGGACAGTGGCCCCGTCGTCGGGGAAGGGAAAACATGATTGTTTAGAAAAAAAACTGCCTCCAATGTATTAAATTAGACGTAATTTATATAATGGCTGCTGGAGTTTCCAAAATAATAATAATAATAATAATTGCATGACTTTCCTTCCAAGGCTCCAGAGACAAATTAAAATAATGTAAAGTAAGTTCCTAATTGGTGTGGGCTGTGGGCGTCTGGGCAGCCTCCAGGTGTGTGCCTGACACGGTGGTGGCCGGCTCCCCAGGGCCCAGCCTGCCCACCCCTCCCCGCTGGGTCCTCGTGCCTGTGCACCTGTCCACGTGCATTCTGTGTGCGATGGCCTGCCACAGCCACAGGCTGGGCTGTCCCCGCCCGGCCCCCTCCTGAGTTGGGGGCCAGAGGCTGAGGGCCTGGTGATGGCTGCCAGGTGCAAGGTGGCTGGAGAAGGAGACCATTCTTCCAGTCTCCTCCCAGCCCCTCCCACCTGTTGTGGGCCCCTGGGACCCCGGGCTCCTCGCTCAGGGACCACAGCGCTCCCTGGGGCATCTGCCAGAGCAAAACAATCCTTTCTTCCTGTGGGGAAATAAAAGCCTGTGACAACATCCAGGGTGGCCGCCCTGGCATTCGGGAAGTGAGCGGAGAGGCCTGTGCTGACCGGTGGGATCCTGAGCCCCAGCCCCAGGCCCCGCCCTCGGCCCTGGCCTCCCTCTCCCCATCTCTACAGAGCAGAGTGTGTCCCCGGAAGGTCAACGCCTGGTGGCCTTGGGTGGCTGCAAGGCTCTCCTGGGCGTGAACACCTTGGGCCTTTTCCTTCTCTAGAAGCTCAGTTTATGATGTCCCCATTTCTCAGATTTAACCCTGGAGGTCCCACAGAATTTACAGCTGATTCTGGCACGTGGGGTTAGGGTAGACCCCGAAGCCCCAGGCAGGGGTCTGATTGGTGCCCTGGCACCTCCCTTAGGATTCCTCAGCCCCCAGTGCTAAGGGAACGTGGGGTGCCAGTCCTGGGGTGCGGTGGCATGGCTCAGGGTACATCAGCCCCAGGGCTCCTGCACCTCAGCTGTCCCGCCTCAGAACGTCCCTGCACCCCAGCTCCCACCTGAGCGCCCATCTGCAACCTCCCCAGCCAGAGCCACCTCTGGGACTCTCCTCTGATCCTCTGGTGTTGCTTGGTGGTGTCCCCTGCAGCGCCCACATCATTGGTCAGGTGTCACAGGCTGTCACGGTGCACGGTAGCTCTCTCTCTGCAAGGCAGGGACAGTGACCCATCATCTCCGTGTCCCTGGGAGTGGTGCCCAGCTTGAGGTACCAAACTCATGGCCAGTGGATTAGCGAGGTGGCGACACGTTGCTTCCTGTTAGCAACCAGGATGGGAACAGACATATTTCAACTGAATCACAAGTTAAAAAGCCAAATGCAGGAAGACATCTGCACCTTGGGGAAGAAATGCACCCTGAGACTGAGGAAGGGAGGAGAGGGGAGGGGTGGGGGTTGTTGGAGGAGGACAAGAGGGTGGCCTGGCCTCCTTGTCCCCTCTGGGAGAGGCACCCGCCACAGAGCTGAGGCTCCTGGGTGGCTGGGCTGGGAGGGACAGAGATGGTCACCTCCTTCTCTCCAGAGTCAATAGCCCAATCTGAAATGAACAAAATCACCCTTCACTTGGGGGACTGGCCTGATCGTGGGGTGCAGGCAGGCTCCCTGTCCCAGGGCCTCCTGGGCCTCTCCACCTGTCCAGACTCCTGTCCACGGGAGCAGCCACTCTAGCCCCTGTGTTGGTGCTGACTGACCAGCTCTGGCCTGCTCCTGCCCCCTGGGCTCTGGGTCAGAGTTAGTGATGGGGACTGCCCCACTTACAGACAGGAGGGGCAGACTCCCTGGAAGTGGTACTGCCTGGCTGTAGAGGCCACTCGGGTGGGGGTCCTCAGGGAGGACAGTCCATGGCTGGCCAGCTGGATAGCCTCTGATTTGCCCCCTTCCTGCCCCTGCCTGGTGCTGGGCGCCTCCCTCAGCCTCAGCTCACCTGGTCTCCCTCTGACTCCATGCCAGGCCCCCAGCCTTCGTCCTCCCCCACCCTCCTCCTCCGCTGTCCTCACCCCCTGCTCATCTCGAGCTGCAATTACAGCTAATCAGATACCTGAGCCGCTTGCGAAGCTATTAGCAGTTCTCCATGCCCGGTGGGAAATCAGCCGGGCTGGACAATTAGCTTTTTAGTTCCAACTCGGATTCTGATGCAAGCAATAAACAACTGGCTGCTCCCTGCCCCCTCCCGCCCACACCCCCTCCTGCTCCTCCTCCGCGGGGGCCTCCCCACCCAGATGCCCAGTGGTCCCGGGGATCCCGCAGCCTCCCTGCAGCCTGCGGGCCTGGTCCAGCGCCCTGGCCATCACCCACAGCGATGGACCCTCCCAAGCCAAGCGCCCTCGATCGCTTTCAATCATGAGGTTTTGAAAAAAAAAAAAATCGGAGAGGAGGGGCAGTGACCTGGGCTATTTTCAGGGGGTCTGCAGCCCCTGCACCCCCAGGCTAACTCCTCCTGCCTGCTGAATTCCTCGCCATGTGTGTGAGTGCGTGCAAGCCTGCGAGTGTGTGTGTGCGCGCGCGTGCGTGGGTGTGCGCCCGCGCGCGCGCGCGCCTGTTTGTAATTAAGCAGTTAATTGCCCCGGGTTCTTGATTAGCTTTGGGGGATGGTAATGTTCTAGCGAGAGGAGGTGTTGTGTACAGTTCAGAATCATTTAGAGAAATTGGAGCTAATTTTGCTGTCTGCGCTTATTACTGCATTAATTTAATTTGGGTTGCTTTTAGCTCATTAACACATCTAATTAATTTGTTGACATCACTATTAAGATGTCTCTTTGAAATTGGCGTCTCCAGATAATCAGGATGGAAAGGCTGACACGCCAGCGCGGAGCTGCCTGGGAACATGGAGAAGGGGCGGGAAGGAGACCAGACCACTAATGAATTTTCCATCAGCAGCGCGCGCGGCTCGTCGGAGGGGGTGTGAGGCGGGCGGCGGCGGGAGCTGTAAGACAAAGGAAGGGGGAGCCCGCGAGCTCGCGGCCGGCCGGGTCTTAAATATTGAATTGCTTAGGAAAACAAACAGACCGGCCCGGAGCTGCAGAGTGGGGGCGAGGCTGCCCGCTACCCGCCCCCGCTGCGCTGCTCCGGGCACTTCCTGGGTGACCCTGGAGGGGCTGCCCATCTGGAAGGGGCATGGCAGAGGCCTGGGGGGGAGGCAAACCTGCCACCGGGAGATCACATGAACTGGGAGGGCATCTGTGGACCCTCTTGTTGGACAGATGGGGAAACTGAGGCTCAGAGATGGGAGCTGTGTGGTTCAAGGTCACAAGAAGTTTGGGGGCTGTCCACGGAGACAGGCACAGCCCAATGCATGCTGTGCATCATTCCCGTCTCCCTGGGGCTCCTGTGGGGCACTGGGAGAGGTGACTCTCCGGCTCTCAGGGTGGCGAGGCTGGGGCTGCCAGGCCAGCTGCAGCTTCTCAGCATGCGTCCGCCAGGATTGGGGTCCCCTGGATCCCTTTAGGTCCTGGGCCTCACAGGCTCACTTCCTCTGGAAGGTCCCCTGTCCTTCTCTTGGGCAGAGTCACCTATCTGTGTGTCCAATGGAGTCCTCAGGCCGCCCCTCCTCCAGAGGAGCCCCTGGATTCCTACCTGGAGGCAAAGCTGGCCGGCACGTGCCTGCAGCTGGACCAGAACGTGAGGACCCCCTTGTCTCCTGAAGTGCAAGTTCAGTTCCCTGGGACTGAACCCACAAGGTCAAACTCTGCCTCCGTTCAGCAGATTCTGCTCCAGCACCTGCCATATTTAAGGTCCAGGCTGGTCAAGAAGACGCCTGCTCTGCATCCACAGAGAAGCAAGGCTCCCAGGGTCTCACGCTTCCTGGGAGGGGTCCATGCTTCCTGGGAGGACCTCCTGTTACTCTGTCACTCTATTTGGGTGGCAAATAAGAGGATGCCCAAGGGCTTAGGTCCTGCAGGGTGATGGTCTCACACTCTTTCTGGGACTTGAGGCAAGGAAGCCTTCAAGGAGGAGGTGAACTCAAGTTGAAGGACGAGTAGGAGTTCGTCACCCGTCATGTTGGAGAGCAGGGGGTCCAGGTCCAAGGAGCCCCGGGGGCTGCTCTAACAAAGCTCTGCCCACCCAACCCCTGCCCTGTTCTAACCTTCAACATGCGGTTGGGGCAGGGCTCCAAGGGAGGCTCTGGTGGGAGCCAGAGAGTCCACTGCAGTCAGCTTGCCCGTGCGGCGGTCCCCAGCCCTGGACCCTCTCCACCGGGCTTCTCCACTGGATGCCTGGGCTTCCTAAAGCCTGGCACCAGGATCCAAGAGCAAACTTCCCAGGAGAATGAGCAGAAGTTCCCGGCATTTTTATGACCCAACCTTGGAAATTTCTCAGGCTCTGAGTGGAGGCAGTCACTGAGGTCTGTCCAGTTTCCAGGGGAGGGGGGACCTGGTCTCATTTCTTGATGGGGAATGTCTTGGAAGAACACGGGATGGCAGGTGCAGCTGCACCTCTCCTTGGACAATGCAGTCGGCCACCTTGGCTCTCCTCTTTGTCCACTCTGCCCTGCCGTGTTCCCTAAGACTCATATGCTGAATAACCCCCCAGAACCTCAGCATGTAGCTGGATTTGGAGACAGGTTTTGTGCAGAGGAAATTACTAAGCCTTCCCCCTCATCTGTGGAGGATGCCTCCCAAGACCCCCAGTGGAGGACTAGAACCATAGATAGTATCGAAAAACCGTACAGACTGTTTTGTTTTGGGTAGTGGGGATTGAACCCAGGTGTGGTGGTTTACCACCAAGCTGCATCCCCAGCCCTTTTAATTTTTAAATTTTGAGACAGGGTCTCACTAGCTTGCTCAGGGCCTCACTAATTTGCTGAGGCTGGCCTCCAACTTGTCATCCTCCTGCCTCAGCCTCCTAATTTGCTGGGATTACAGGCATGCACCACCCCTCCTGGCTATATACTGCTTTTTTCCCCTTCCTATACACATATGCCTGAGACTGAGTTTAATTTTAGGCACAGTAAGATACTAACAATGATAATTAAAAATAAAATAGAACAATCATAACAATACACTGTAACAAAAGTTATATGAATGTGGTTTTGCTCTCTCAAAATATCTTATGTCCTGTAGATCTTAGCAAGCTCTCCAGACGATTCGTTTCCTTATGCTTTCCCTTTCATTTTATTTTTGTGCTGGGGACTTAATCCAGGGGTGTCCTACCACTGAGCTTCATCCCCAGGACCCCGTTTTGAAATCAGAGCTCCCAGCCCTTTTAATGCCTTGAACTTGGGATCCTCCTGCCTCAGCTTCTCGAGTGGCTAGGACGATAGTCATGGGCCCCATGACTAGCTTCTTTTTCACTTTTAAAGGAAGCACTTCATGGCTTCTCTTTGGCATATCTGAATTGCCAGCATCGTGACTCCTGTGCTTTGGCCATGGATTAAGATCAGGGAGGGTCACCTGACACCCACCGCAGTGATGAGCCTGATAACCAGGATGGCTGCTGAGTGCCTCATGGGAGGGTAGCACATACAGCACGGACACGCTGCACAAAGGGATGCTTCCCAGCCTGGGCAGAGCAGGAGGGTGAGAGATTTCACGGCGCTACTCAGAATGGCGTGCATTTAAAACACGAATCACTTATTTCTGGAATTTTCCATTTAATGTTTTCAGACGTGGTTGACCATGGGTGACAGAAAGGGGTGGTTGTAAGGTGGATGAGGTCACGGGTGGCCCTATACCATCTGAGCTGTAGAAGTAGAAGGGATCCGTGCACAGATGTGGAGGGACGGTCCTGTGGGGACTTGGGGACAGGGCAGTCTGCAAGCGGCCTCAGGAGGAGCCAGCCTGCTGCAGCTGACCTTGGACTCCAGTCCCCTGAACAGTGAGGAATCGGTGTCTGAGCTGAGCTGCCAGCAGGCTGTGCCTCGTCACGCGGCTCGAGCAGATGAAGGCAGAGGCTCTGCTGTCCTGTGACTTTGCGCACCGTTCTGGCTCCTGGGCCCATCCTTGTCAGCCCCTGAGTTAGGCTGACACGGGGTTGGTGAGCTCCCTTGCCCTCTGTCTCCCCAGGAGGTGAGTCCTGAGGGGACTAATCCTTGTCTTTGGTCCACAGCTGTCTCTGTGGCTGGGGCCTCAACCAGTTGGAACTGGGAGCAGGGCCTGGGAGGCCCTTTGGGGGGCTGGAGCATGGGGGAAAGGATGGGGGGTCCTAGGAAAGGGGTCGAGGCAGCTAGGGTGGGGGGTGGCACTCAGTGGCCACGGGCCTGCATGGCATCACCTCACCGGTTTAATAGCCAGTGCTGCTGCATGGATGCAGCCTGTGCATGGTGCATAATAGGTGCTCATTTAAAACCCAGTGAATGAACCAAGATTTTGCTGTAAAGCCAGGGCAGGTCTTCACCAGGACCAGGCGTCCAGGCCCATCCCTTCTGGCACAGGACCCGGGGTTCGCCCTTGCCTAAGACTCAGCCCTCCTGTTTTGCAGCCTGGTCCAACCATTCCTCACCCCTCACCTCTACCAGCCAGCGGGCACTTATGGAGCACCTACTGTGTACCTCACTGTGAAGGGCTCCTGGTCTCCCCAACACCCCTCTCCCAGGCCACCAGGGTCTGTCAGTGTGAGCCCCCAGGACATCCCCACTTACCTCCCGGCACCAGTGAACAAGGGCTTGCGGAGGGAGTGGCTCAGCCCTGGCCGTGGGGAGCAGGCCTCTGGGTCTCGGCCCTTGGCCCAGGGCCAGGATGCAGAGCTCTGCCCAGGCCTCTCTCCACGGCCAGGCTCATCTTCTCAGGAGGTCCCGGGCCTGGCCTGCTGTCTCACCTCAAGTCCTCTGGGTTGTCCCCTTCCCTGGGGTGTCCTTCTGTGCCCGCCTCAGTCAGAAAGGCAGAGGGACCCAAGTCCCTGGCAGAGCTGGGTGATCCTGAGCCTCCCGTTGGTCTGGGCTGTGTCCCCCGAGGGCAGGCCAGGTGGGCGGCCGGGCAGCCTCCCCAGCCAGGGAAGCTCTGGAGAAGGGCGGGCGGGGCCGGGCAGAGGTTGTCCCTGGATATCTCCCATGGTGCACCTGGCCACAGGGGGCCGTGGGGAGGAGGGACAGGCAAGGCCAGTCTCACAGGCAGGGGCCACGCAGGCACCCTGCACCCTGAGCTCAGAAGGGCCCTGAGCCTGGCTTAATGCTCAGCCCTCGGGGCCTTGAACTTCCTGATAATGGTGGCTCGAAGCTCATGTTTTGGAAGCAAAATTTGAAGGTGAGGATCAGCAGGTGAGCAGAGGTGTGAGCCTGGCTCCTGTATCTGCATTCAAAATGGACACCGTCATCCGGGAGGGGTGGCCACGCCTGTCATCCGAGCTACTTGGAAGACCAAGTCAGGGGCAACCCAAGTTCAAGACCAAACTGGCAGCATGGTGAGACCCCCTCCCATCTCAAAAAATAAAAAAAAAATTGATATCGCATGACATCCTTCATGGCCATAATTTAAATTAGATTTCTTTTCTTCACTTAAAATTACATTAAGTAGCACATAGAAAACTCTATGGTGCTGGGCACAACGGCGTACGCCTGTAATCCAGCAGCTTGGGAGGCTGAGGCAGGAGGATCTCAAGTTCAAAGCCGGCCTCAGCAAAAGCGAGGTGCTAAGCAACCCAGTGAGACCCTGTCTCTAAATAAAA